GGTATAAATCCAATCTCTTCTCTTCAGCACTCTTATTTATCTGCTTTTTGACCCTCCTGAGAAAGTTTTATTTTCCATTTGTAAGCAGAATAAACCACTTGAGGGCATACGAAGAGAGAAGAGGTTTGCAGTAACATTCAAATGCCTGTACTTGGGTATATTAAAGATTAATACTGTACAAAACAAAACAAGTATATTTTAAGAGCATTTACTCTGGTGATGGGTGCCCTTGGAGAAGGAGCACAGCCCCCTCCTAAAGGGTTCCTGTGATGGACCTACACAAACAAATGCCGATCTTGATTTAGTTTATACTCCTCTTAACCATAACAGGGCACGGGCCAAGTTGTACTGAGTTTGCTGGATCTTCCTGATAGGGAACTTCCCTTAGCCTGACTTTTCCCCTCACTATTTACAAGCATCGAGACATTTTTTCCCAAGGGTTGCTGTAGGACAAAGCATAAACAGATTGCTCAATCTCTTGGCTCAAGACCCTGAAATAGCCTTGTCCGCTGCACACGGAGGGGCCAAGATTTGCCATGCACTCCTATTGAGATAACTCCCTGCCGTTCACTAATTGCTTCGTGGGTAAGTCAACACTGTTCAAGTCTCACAGCAGGCAACTTGAGATGCAACATATGCCTTTATGAAAATTTCCTCAGTTGCTCCCAGAACAACCATTATCCCCTCAAAGTAATTTATTTGCAGTTAACAGAAGTCTACATACTGAAAGGAAAGGGCCCTGTGTGCGCTCCGCAAAAAGGAAAAGGTACCAAAATGTCACAATGGCACAAGTACCATTTTCACAGCACTGAACCCAGCCCTCAAGCTGCTTTATACTTAGTCATATTTACCTGAATGCATTCAAAGCACCCAGCAGGGTTCAAGGATCACCCATGTAAAAACAGGATGAGTCCTCCTCATTCTCAGCCTTAAAACTAGCCACACACTTCACCTCTCCACGAAGGGACTGGGGGGAGCCCTCAAATAGGTTGTGGAGACCCCCATCTGCTGAGCTGCCAGTCCCACAGAGCTGGCGTCGCTGTTTTGCTGCTGCTGCCGCCGCCCATGTGTGGCTATCAAAGACACTGCCCTGCCACCTCTGTCCTTGCATGCCAAGACAAACAGAAGGGTGGCAAGGAGAAATCAGGGAATGCTAGAGGAAATTCTGATGTTGAGAAGGTTCTAGGGAAAGCGAGTGAAGATGATTTCGAATGATGTTGGGAAAGGTAACCTTGTGAGTAGCTTCAGCACACACGGTATGGCTCTCAGCACAATATTCATTTCACCGTCTTAGAGAAGGCAAACAGGACTATTAACTTGGAAAACTGCTTCCAGAAGTGTGCCAGATTGGAAGAGAGGGACATGATCCAGCACTGCTAGATTTTGAGCTGTACTGAGCACAATTTTGTTGCCAGGAAACAGTATTGAGTGTGCAAGTTATTTGGCCTTATTAACACTCAGTGCCATTTTATGTACAAGTCTCTCCACACACACAGCTGGGACTGTGTCTTGATTATTCCATTTCCCCCCAGTGAACAAACAAATGATTCCCAGCATCAAGTACAACACTCTGTCTCATCTCAGTGTACTAAAAACTGCATTTGGCCCAAGCGGTCTAAGAAACAGTCAGATAGCTCCTAGTTCATATTCTCTCATCTTGGGCCTAAGCAAGGCATTAATATAATGGCTCAGTTGATTTAAGAATCCTAAAGTCCACTATTTTTGTTCCAGTCAGAATCCTTAGCTCTGTATCAGATAAGCCTTAAGCAATGTATTCTAGTTGAAATCCTGTTGTACAAGTGATTTTAGTGCTAACGAAAGAAAGAACTGCAAGAATTATGAGATTGTAACCCCGTAGGAGGACAACTGGTGAGGTGTGCAGCCCATTTGCACCTCAGTAAGTTCCACAAGCCCTGAATACTTTAGCAAGGTTTGGCCTTAGTTATCTCCCCACCCCCACCACCACCAGTAAATCTCTTTGGGAAGAAGGCAGGCAGCCATCAAGATCCAAGCCTTTCTATACAAGGAAGACCAGTGATTTAAGTGGATATCAATCCTATAGTAAAGTGACCGGCAGTTCAAATTGCAGTTGTTGAAACCCTGATCCCTGGTATGTGCGGATGAAGCCTTTGATGCCACGGATGATCTCTTGGCTCAGAATCTTCAGAGCCTTGCTAGCTTTGCTGGAAGTTTCCTCTCTGCCCTCCTTCCTTGCTGAGCAGTTTCACCTCTCCAATGACCATGTCGTGAGTGACTGCTTTGCACATATCGTACACAGTCAAAGCAGCCAGGCTGGCAGCTGTCAAGGCTTCCATCTCGACACCTGTTTTCCCATAAGTGCGGCACAGAGCCCGGATCACCACCGCATGCCTGCTCTCATCTAGACTCAGAGAAATATCCACCAGACTCAGTGGGATGTTGTGGCAAAGGGGGATCAGCTGACTGGTCAACTTGGCACCCTGAATCCCTGCAATCTGGGCAACAGCCAGCACGTCCCCTTTTTTCATCTGGTTCTGACGCACCAATTCAAACACCTTCTTGCCCAGGTGGACCACGGCACTGGCCACCGCGGTCCTTTCAGAATCAGCCTTCCCGCCGATGTCCACCATGGAAGCCCGGCCCTCCTGGTCAATGTGGGTTAGGCAGTCTGAGGCACCAAGCAACTTGGCAGTGGACGGAGATCTTGAACCCTTCTCTCCTGGCTGGTTTCTCACACTGGAGTGAACACCCCTCATCTTGTGGGATTTCTGCTTGGAGGGAGATATTCCTGTCCTAAGGCACTTGGTGTCCAAAACAGAGCCCAAGTTCTTTTGGAGAATGCGATTGCTACTCAGCTGAGCTTGCAGAATTCCTACTGCAAGCTGTCGTGCTGTGAGAGATCCTGGCAGGGCACGATGTCCTGTAAACACATTTTTCTTAAATGTTTCCCCCACTGGCTTGGATAAACTTGCTCTTGGAGTCAGCCAGTGGCCGTGGCCCCCACCATTTAAAGTTCCTCGGTCTTGCAGGGCATCTTGGAGCAGGGGGAATGACCTTGATGCTGATTCTAGGAAAAGAATGACAAACGCAGAAAAGACTTTCAATGCCTAAAAAGTCAAGAGCTACTAAGGATTTTATACAGCACTCTATAAATTACACGGCAAGCATGCAAATTCTTCGAGAGCTCATAGGCGAAACTGGACAAATGTTATAGACTTAATTATGGTCAGTCTATGGACCCCGAAGTGGCAGCAGTTTATTTTGCCACCTACTTTCTTTATTCTAAGTGGGAACCTAGAAGATTAGTAGAAAGGCCTTCCTCATATGAGACTAGTGAGAATTAAGCAGGAACAAGTGGGTTAACTTCAGAGGCAGAACTGAGGAGCTCCACTAGGCCCTGTACTGTGGCCCACGGACAGGTGACTGAGAAGGCTGATCTCTTTCCACTTCCATTCTTAATATACACCGAGGCGTGGGAGAGGAACACCACACAGTCAGCTTCCTTCTGTCCAAGAAGAGAACTAGAAACAAGCCAGTTCTAACTACCCTCAATGTCCTTCCCAGCACATCACACCTAGGCCTTCTGAACAAAACGTTTGGCTGCTGCTTCAGACAAGGAGACAGAGGAACCAGCTTCAAGCAGCTACAGGAGAGCCACTTGCTCTTGC